ATTCCGCTGTGCAAGTTGTACAATAGGACCGAGAAAATTGTTTTCAATCCTACTGAACAACTTAGGTCCTAGTATTGCTCGCACCGTATCAACTAATAGCAGGTTGCATGTTGTTGCGCTGTTTATTATCGCCAGGTTCAAAACCAGGTTTGTAAATCTGTTCTGGCATGTTTATGCTGCCAAATATTTCATCATCTGTCTGATACATCTGAAAAGTTGTTGAAAACACATGTCAATTATTGATTTATAAACTGTAAAAAACTTTTATAAAATCTATAAATTTTCTGAATTTTATCCGTAATCACTTCAAGAACAAAATTTTACCTAGTTTTACAGATTTAAACCATCAATTTCCATCTCATATATTATCGTTTTAAAAACTGTTTAAAACCCATAAATTTACCCAGATTCACGTCAATAAGGAAAAACTACAAAGATTGACATATTCAAACCAAGTGCGACGACGAGTTTGAAACTCATATCGACAATATCGGATAGTCGCGAATCGAAAAACCATTGACAAAATCAAATAAACTAGTAAAATCTGTTACACAAATCGACGAAATTGCGAAATCGCGAATCAAAATAGATCTAGATTGAGAAATCGAGAAATAGAGATGAAAATTACCTCTAATAAGTTTCGATTTCCTCTTGAATGACCTCTAAAAAGCTTCGATTTCCTCTCCAATTACGTCTAAAAAGCTTCGATTTCCTTTCTAAAGAGATGAAAAGTGGCGATGGCGTTTAGGTTTTGGGAGAGAGAATATTGAGAGCGTTCTTTTGTTTCATGGGTAAATTTGTCATTCTCAGATAAAATCATGGCATTTTTGTAAAGAGCCCAGCGCATGTGGCAGTTTTGCAAACTGTTGACCTATTTGTTGCCTTTTTGTGATTCCCCAAAAAAAAAATTGCATATAAACGTGTTTCACAAACAAAAACAACTCAATTTTTGTTTTTATAATTCCTCACTTCCTCCTATTCCCCCAATTCCTCCAATTCTTCTATAAACACAAATGGTACGAGAGTCCTCTGGCATCATTTAGGGCCTCAATGGCGTTTCCAAAAATATGTATGAACATGCTTTGAAAACATCAGATTCTGTTTTAGTAGTTTTCATTTATGTTTTTAAAATACAATATCGTAAATAAATCTGAAGGATATGATTGTTTTTATATTTTTAATAATAAAAAAAGAATATATAGTATTTTGGTGTTTGTGCATTTAAATTTGAAGTAATTGCAAAAATATCAATTTTGGTGTGTACATTTGCAAGAATGACACTTAGGAGTGTCCATTTGCAAAAATGCCACTAATTATAGATTTTTAAAACCTAAATCTTAAAATTATAAACTCTGAAAAATGTTTTGACTCTAAAACCCTTAAACCCTTAAACCCTCAAACTAAACCCTAAGATAACATATTTAACCCAAGTATAAATCATATAATAAATTTTTTTTTAAAAAATGGTATTTTTGCAAAGATTTTTAAAAAGTGACATTTTTGAAATTTGACACTTGAAATGTGGCATTTTTAAAAATTTCTCTTTAAATTTTCATCTTCTTTCTATAAAATATTTTGTTTTGAAAGAATTCTTTAGTCATGTGATTTTGAAAGTTGTAATTCTTTAGTCATACGTGATTTTGAAAGTTGTAAAAAAAAAGCTATGCAAAATTTACTCAAAAGTTGTAATTTCAAACATTTCAATCGATTTTACCTAATTTTCTACCAATTTCAACAAATCTCTATAATATTAAAACAGAAATACATTTAGCAAAATGTCCAAAATTCATTCTAATATTACTGAAATTGCCATTGTCTTTTAACTAAATAGATCCAATTGAAAAGGGTAATTTTGGACATTTGCAGTGGCAATTTCAGTAATTATCAGATCAATTTTGGACATTTTTTGAATTGGATCCGACTGGGGACGCGGATCCGTGCGCGACCCGGTTCCTTGACCCGGTTTCATTAATGGCAAAATTGTAAATATTCAGTCAAAAAAAAAGGGCCGCCTGCAACTTCTCTTCTTCTTCGTGTAGAGAAGATCGATGGCTCTCGTGAAGGTCGCCGTTGGTGCTCCTGATGTTCTCGGAGACTGTATGTTTC